GCTGAGCAGGGAGCCCGATGCGGGGCTCGATCCCAGGACCCTGGGATCATGACCTGAGCCGAAGGCAGACACTTAATGACTGAGCCACCCAGGCATCCCATAAAAAAAAAAATCTTAAAAAAGAAAAAGAAATACAGTTTGACCCAAATGGAGGAGTGACATGGGAGGGCAGTGTGGAAGCGCATTCAGAGGAGGCCTTGAAGGTGAAGGTGCCAGGTGAAGGCATGTGATTTTAACCTGCAGGCAACGAGGGGCCAAGGCCTGTGTGTCAGCTGGGGAAGAGCTGCTGGATAAAACGCAGGTCTCAGGAGGTGGTGCATGGGAACAGCTGGAGGCAGGGAGAGCCAAGACCTGACCTGTGAGTGGAAATAGGATGATGGGAGGTAAGGAGAGGTTCGGATTGTGGGGCAAGTGGAAAGTGAGCAGGAGAAAGTCGTGGAGGACTCCAGAGGTTAGAAGCAGGAGGCCCAGAAAGTGATGGTACCTTTTAGAAGGGCCCTCGAGTCTGGGGAAGAGCGGATAGTCGGTATTCGTATTACTATGGATAACCCGGCACTGTCCTGAGATCTTTGCCTGGATTTCGGCCTGTCCTCTCCCTTCTGCCCTCTCAGGAAGGGGCTACTGTTATGCACACCAGACGGAAGAGACCTGGCTGGGAGAGGTGAAGTGCCTTGCCCAAAGTCCAGCAGCTGCGGGGTACAATTCCGAAGGCCAGATCAGTCCGACTCCGGAGCCCATCTTCTCGGTCAGCAGCATAGTATCAGAGGCCGGGCTTGATCTGACCGCTGCCATTTGGTCTGGCTTCCCCTTGGCCACTCTTCCCCTGGCAATACTCTGTGCTCTCTGGCTTTGAGCTTCCTCCTGCCTGCTTAAGGGCTCTCCCACAGACTGTGTTCCCCAATGCCCAATGAAATCCTCCTGGAGTATACTTCTCATAGCACTGTGTCCTGTACATGTCCTTCGTGACACTTCCCACAATTACCATTCTTAGCTATGTCACTTTTTGTTTTACATCTGCAGGGAGAGGACCCTTGTATCTGCTCCCCGAGGCTAGCAGCCGCTGGTGGGTCGGGGGTTGACCTGTGCTTGTTGAGATGATTTAAGTGTAGACCTATCCCCCCAGAATCCAACGTCTGGGAGCTTTTTGGCGTTTTGGGCCACTGCCTTCCTCTTTGGGGCACAAAAGCTGACAGTCTAGGTCTGCCTCTTAGCGTCGGTCCTGGGAGCTCACCCACCAGCAGCCCCAGAAAAAGGCTGGTGTGCAGCCCCCACCCCGCTCATCCGTAGGCCCACGGGCCCCAGCCGCTCAGCCTTCCCTGGGCACTCACTATTCCTTGGCGATCTCCAAGTCCTTTCTGTGGCTCTGCAGGGCTGCGACCATCTGCCCCAGCTCAATCTGGGCATTCCCTATGCAGCTGTACAAGTTTCCAACCAGCTCGTCCTTGTTGGGCACCTCCTCTTTGTTCCATTCCAGCACTTTCTTCAGCACTTTCTCAGCTTTCTGAAGGCTGCCATCAGCACTGCCACTGCTCAGCACTAGGAAGGGAAACAGGGGACAGGGAGGTGGGAGCAGTCTCCTCAGGCTGATGGGAGAACCCGCCTCCCCCAGATACGATCCACAGGCCCGAAACCTCGGGCCCCTCTGGTGCTCTCCCACCACCTGGCCAAGGCTTCGCCCTTCCGAGAACACCACTCACACATGTCGATGTCCTCGAGGCTCTTGAGGATGTAATGGGCTGTCTGTGAGGGACGGCGCTTGCGGTCCCGTAGCCATTTCTCTTGCATCAGCTTCCGGTCCCGCTCCCTGGCATAGATGGGCTTCTGCTGCCTCCAGAAGTTACTGCGGGTGTCCAGGTAGTTGATGCCTGTCATGATGAGGTCCTCCACGGTCAGGCCATGCTTAATGGTGCCTTTGATCAGGTCTGGGAAGAATGGTGTGAGGAGAAACCGTCTAGAACCGGCGTCTAAGGGAGCCACCTCCTGTTGGCTGGGGATTCCTGCTGTGGGGTCCCCTGTGGGGAGCTCTGCTTTGAGCTGGGAAAAGCAAGAGCACATAGGTAGCAGGGTGGCCCTATGTGGACCCAGGTGAGGCCAGAGCCCCTCTTTCAGGTGCTGCCATGGTGTAGAAGTTCATGCACAGGCCTTTTATGGCAAGGATACAAGGAACTAGCCGAGGGGGCCACTGGCAGATAGCTGCCTGAAAGGACCGCAACCCTCGGGCCCCCTGATTTCAGGTTGTGTCCGCTGAGAAGACTGAGTATGAATGCACAGCCTGGCCCTGGTTGCCAGTGCCAAGGGATTCCCCAGGTGCCAAGTGGGCCAGGGCCAGCAGGGAGCTGGAAGAGTGTGCCCAAGCTCTGCCCGCCTGCCTGACCACAGGTTAGAGCTGGTAGCAAAACTGCAAGGCCTTGTGGGGTAATTTTCAGGCCACCCCTTCCTCCACAGAAGCTCCTCTGGAGGAAGGTGTTCAGGCCCCAGACAGAGAAGTGCCAGCAGGGAAGATGCTCCTGAGACACAGACCTGCAGGGAGTCCTGCACATAACCTCAGGAAGGCAGTTCTGGAGAAAAGGCATTTGATTCAAGGATGAATCCTGCTTAGGCTTATCAGCTAATGGCAATACTCCCACCCTCCCATTTCATTTCAAGGCTCTGCCCTACTTCTTGCCCCTGCCAGCACAGTATAGTAGGTAGAGCGTTAGATTGGAGGTTAGTAGGCCGGCCTCTGGGGTCGAATTCACCACGAACTTGCTTGTCATCTTGGGCAAGTTGCTCCCCATTCAAAGTCTCTCTTTCCTTATCTATAAAAGGAGGGATTAGACCAGATGAGATTTCAGAACATTCTAGTACTAGTATCATAGGATTCCCCTTCTAGCATGTCCCAGCTGGATTCCTTTGCCCTTTCTACAAATTGAAGGCTCAGGGGATGCCCCTCCAGGGACCTAGGTGATAAAGGAACCCCAATCTCTAGGGTTCCCTCCCAGGGGTACCAGAGTGCTAAGGGCACTGGTTCTGAAATTGGACATCCTAGATTCAAACCCAAGAGCCATGTCACTGTTTACTGATGTGTAACCTTTGGTGAGTTACTTAATCTTTCTGCACTTGAGTTTTCTCATCTGTAAATGAGAATACTAGGAAATCCTGTCCATAGGCTAATGTTACATGACAGGCTCTGTCTCCAGCTCATGTATTAAGCACCTGTCCCAGATTTCCTTTGCCCCAAGTTCCCTGTTGCAAACAAAGTATCTGAAACCTTCATCCAATAGGAGCTTCTCCAGATACTCCTTATCCACGTAGAGCTCGCCCAGGAGCTGGCGGACAATCTTCTCACTCTTGAGTGAGCCCTTCCGCTTGGACTCCCTCTTGGGGTGATGTAAGAGTTGTCTCACAGGATGAGGCTTCTGCTGGGCTTTCATACTCTGGGAAGATGGAGCAATACCCAACAGAGCTTCAACAAGGAGCACAGAGTACCCAGACATGGTCCCAGAGTCTGTGATCCCAGACATCTCCTCCAAGACCTTTCTGTGGGTCTAGAACCATGGAGTGTGTCTGGTCTGGGAACAGCTAGATTCCCAAGACCCCTCTGGAGCTGGGGCAGAATCCCACGGCTGCCCATGATGGGCAGGAGGTGACTGTCCCCAGGTTAGAGGGCCACCGAGACCTCAGGCACATGTGGGCACTTCCTTGGGAGGGATGTGATATCAGAACCAAGGCCCTTACCTCAGCTTGCTTGCTTAAGAAGGAGAGGTCCCCTTTGTTCTCTAGCTTAATTGAAGAAGGACCTGCAAGGAAAGAGCCTGGGGCTCAGGTGTGCCAGGTCCTCAAGCATGACCTATCACATATTTTTATGTAGAAATCTCTGCCTTTGGCAGAGGGTGAGAGAGGTTGTGGCAAAGCTGTCTCTGAGCCAGTCCAGCAGGTTGATGGTACAGGATATTTGGAATAACACTCTCCTATAGGTAGGCAGCCCCTGATATCCCAAGGCCATGGCAGCCAGATTTCCAAAGGCAGTCCCTGAGCACTAGGAGAGCTCTCCATCACTCTGCCACCCACAGTGGCAAACTCTTGCTCTCCTCCCTTATCCCCCTGCCACTAAGCCAATGGGTAAGGCCAGTCCTTGGTGCATTCATAGTAAGAGAGGAAGCCAGGAACTAGGGAAGGCTAGGCTCAGGACCTCATTCTATCCTATGAAACCAGGCCAAAGACAGGCCTAATGTGAATAGCTTTTGCATCTGGCTTAGAGGAGAACCAGAAGTTGCAGAGCTGAGCACAGTGGATCAGGGGCTGGTCCTCTGGGTAGACAGATTAGTTCCTAATCTTCAACAAAATCAGCAGCAACCAAATCCAAGCATGAGACTCCCTGCAGGCCTGGTGTAGCTGCTCACTCATTGCACCTCCAAGCCCAAAGATTCCAAGAGCCTCCCAGGATAAGGGCATAGGTCCGATGGTCACTCACTTCCCACTGAGTTGTTGATAGCCTCCTGAGCTTTCTGAATTCCAACTTTGAATTCTCGGTCAGGCCGCAACTTGTAGCCTCGATGATAGAACACCAGGGCAAACTCAAAGTCTCCCATGGTGTACAGGGTCTCAGCCTTTTGTAAAATCCCCTGAAATGAGAGGAAGTCAAATTGAGGTGGCAGACAAGGCCTTACAGGACTTAGGTGTGGTGGAGCAGAGGGTCCTGGGTTGAGGATCAAGGTTGGGATACAGGGGCAGGTAGCTAGGTAAGTGACCTAGGGAGAGAAAAAGGCATCAAACCCTAGGCAGCCTGGCTGGTTCTTCAGCTTCTTCTCATCAGAGGCTGCGACAGGCAATAGCAGTGGTGAAAGCCAGATTGAGTCACCTTGCAGAAAGTCAGGTCACTCTGGAGTGAAGCCTCGGCATCCTTCAGGGACTTCTCCAGCTCTCCCATCTTCAGGAAGCACTTGGATCGGGCAACCAGGCAGTTCTTATCTCCATTCTGAAGGTGAAGAGCCTAAGAAAGGAACCACCCAGGTTGACAGGCACCAGGCAGCACAAGGTAGAAGCCTGACCAGAAAGAGCATCCCAAACCATCCTGCCAGCATTTCAAGGGGACTCCTCAGGCCAGCAAACAGGTCTCTGGATCTTTTCAAACCAAAAGCAGCACAACATCGATCTTTGCTCAGTCCACTAATAGGCTGCACGTAGCTCATCTCGAACGAGGTCAAATCACTAGCTATTGTGAAAGCCATTGGTGGAAATGTGTGAATATACCACTCTGTGGATATAATATACTGAATTTCCCCCAAATGTCTGGGATTCCTCCAGTCTTCTCAGGCAATAGAAGCTTAAGATTTTTAGTGCATACCAAATTCAACCACAAACCTCAAATGGCTGTATAACAAACACTCAAAATACATTTCAGAGGCTAAGCATTCTGAAGGCTAATGAAACAGGTTTTAGGACATCTGCAACTTGAGTCATCCATTCCCCTAGCTCTCTCTTTTTACATAGCTTACTGAGAACAAATGAACAAATCACTATTTCAGGAGATCATGATGAAAATGCTAGCAAAACTGAAACTGTGATTTGGGCAATAGAGTGGGAATGGAACATTTCTCCTGCTCCCTGTGTCCTCTCTTCTGTTTGAAATCATCATTGGAGGGGCACCGGGGTGGCTCAGTCAGTTAGGCGTCTGCCCCTTGATTTCAGCTCAGGTTATGATCTCGGGGTTGAGAGATGAAGCCCCAGGTAGAGCTCTGCGCTTAGCGGGAGTCTGCTTCCCTCCTTCTGCTTCTCCCTCTCCCTCTGCCCCTCTCCCACCCACATGCACATGTGCACTCTCTCTCTCTCCCTCAAAATAAGTAAATAAATAACTCTCTAAAATAGGAAAAGAGGGGCACCTGGGTGGCTCAGTCGTTAAGTGTCTGTCTTCGGCTGAGGTCATGATCCCAGGGTCCTGGGATCGAGCCCCTCATCGGGCTCCCTGCTCAGAGGACAGCCTGCTTCTCCCTCTCCCACTCCCCCTGCTTGTGTTCCCTCTCTCACTGTCTCTCTCTGTGTGTCAAATAAATAAAAAAAATCTTAAAAAAAAAAAAAAAGAAGTGGGCTATACGTTGTAAAAGAAATTGTGGTAAGAACATCTAACAGCTGGGGGCACCTGGGTTGGTGTAGTTGGTTGAGCGACCGACCCTTGATTTCAGCTCAGATCGTGATCTCAGGGTCTTGAGATGGAGCCCCAAGTGGGGCTCCACACTCAGGGTGGAATCTGCTTGGGACTGTCTCTCCCTCTGCCCCTCCTCCACCCCCAGCCCCTGTGTGCACTCTCTCTCTCTCTCTTTCTCTAAAATAAATAAATAAATCTTTTTAAAAAAAGAACCTCTACTAGCTTACTTGTGAGGGAGTATGTATGGTGGTTAGCACCTCAGCACTGGAATCTGAGTGCCTGGGTTTGAAAACCTTCTCTTGCCAGTTCAGTGATCTCCACCATGTACTCAACTTCTGTATCAGTTTCCTCACCTATCAAATGGAGTAATAACAGAACCTCCCTCATAGGGCTGTACTGCACTTAGCAGCAGTGTGCCTAATATCCTAAAACAGCACCCAATCCCCATAGGGTGGGGTTGAGCAATTGGTACTAAGATTATATATAATAATGTTATTTACTGGCCATCTTCTGTGAGCAACTGTGCTTGAGATTTCACCACTTGTGCATGCAGCCTCCAAGCCCATTTCCCAGCCAATGACGGGAAATTAAGGCTGCTCTGTGGGAAGAGGCCAATCACACGACATTTCAGTAAAAAAAGGAGAAGTCACTGTTAATGTAGAGAACGGTTACTAACAGGCAGAAGGCAAGTGGGAAATGGTGGGAAATGGTAGAAAATGGCGAGGCAGTGACAGAAGTTGACAGTAGTGCGTCAATCAGGAACAAATGAATAATAGAAACAAAAGGGTCCTCCAGGCACCACGGGGACCTCAGTGTTATCAGCAATCAGAAGTGGTGATGGGTGACTGGTAGGTTCAGAGCCCAACTCACGTTGCTGAAGCTATGGGCGGCTTTAGAGAACTCTCCGCACAGATACAGCCGCTCGCCCTCCGCCATGTAAGAGGGAAAGGTGCTTCGCAAGCTCTCAGCTTCTGGGTCCGACATGGTAGCCGGATTCGGTGACGCTGAAGCAGAAAAAGGGAGGAAAAGAAGCGGGAGAACCTCGGTCTGGCTTGTGGAAGCCCCGTCTCTTAGCAACCGGGAAGCGTAGAGTTGCTTCCGGCCCCTCCCCTCGCTCCCTCGGGGCGGGAGTCCGCGGTACATCCGCCGCAAGCGTGCGCATGCGCCGGCCCAGCGGCGCGTGGCCGAGGGCGTGATCGGCGCGTGGCCGGTGCCTTCCGAGAAGCGGCGCTGGGCTGTGTTGTGCTGTTGCGCGCTCCGTCGGTTGTCTGCCGAGAGCCGTGCCCCGTGTCCAGAATTTACAGCCAGTAACGTTGGAAGAGGATTGGGGGCAGAATTCCCAATAGAGATAAGGCATACGTGGCAAGGATATGTGCACCGTGTATCGCCACATTCAGGACTTGAGGATTTGCAAGGGATTTCGTGGAAGACAACGTTGGGTTCGACCTTAATTTAACACATTTATTGAGCACCTGCTTGTGGTAGGCTCTGATCGAGGCCTCTCCTGACGGCTTTCCCCATTCCCTCACTCTCTCTGCTAAAAAGGTAGACTAGATTCTGCTAGGTTCCAGCGAACACCCTGCCTTTGCGACATTACTTTTAAAACGTCAACTTCCAACGCTAGTGACATCGTGACCTCCATTAAGGCAGGGACCCTGTCGTAACCTTGTTTCCAGAATGCAACTGTCTGGCACATAGTAGGAGCTAAATAAATCATTGTTAAAGTTTAAATAGTTAAAAGATGGCCCTAACTACACAGATGTACACACCAATGAGTACATGTAAAGCTGGAGAAATCTGAATAGGATCAGTGGATCGTACCAGCGTCTATTTTCTGTTGTGTTATTGTACTCAAGTTTTTCAAGATGTTACCATTGGGGGAAACTGGGTAAAGGGTACATGGGATCTTTTTATTATTTCTTACAACTGACTATGAATCTACAATTATCTCAAAATAAAAGTCTAATTAAGAAAAGAATGACTTTAATGCCAAGATAAAAAAAATAAGGTTCCTTGCTTGGAAGAGTTTGGTCTAGTCAGGGAGTGAGATGCATAAATGATAATGACTTCCCAAAGCGATGTTGAGATATTCGAAGTTCTGTGTGCCTGTGAAGGAGGTGAGGATAGATGAGTGAAAAATTCAGTCAGGGCCTGGGCTGGATTAGAGACAGCTTCACAAAAGGGGTCACATTTGAGCGGAGGGTGAGTAGGAATGGTGCCCAAGAGACCTAAGTAGGGAAGGAGGTAAGCAAAGGCCAGAGGTGTGTAAGTTCACAAAGTGTGTAAGGAGCAGCAACCTCATGTGCTGGCTTCCATAACTTATATGTTATTAAGATGGGCACATAGGTGAGTTGAACACATTGCTGAAGTGACCAGCAGTTAATTGGAAAATCCTCCTGCAAAGAGGAAATCTATAGGTTTAATTCAATTCCAATCAAAATCCCAGCAGAATTTTTTTTGATAATTGACAAGCTGATTCTAAGATCTATGTGGAAATGCAAAGTACCTAGAAGAGCCAAAACAATTTTGAAGAAGAAATACAAAAGAGAAGTTATGCTGTGCTGTCAAGACTTATTATTATTATTTTTTTAATTTATTTGCGAGAGAGAGAATGAGAGACAGAGAGCATGAGAGGGAGGAGGGTCAGAGGGAGAAGCAGACTCCCTGCTGAGCAGGGAGCCTGATGTGAGACTCGATCCCGGGACTCCAGGATCATGACCTGAGCCGAAGGCAGTCGCTTAACCAACTGAGCCACCCAGGCACCCCTGTCAAGACTTATTTTAAAGCTATAGTAATGGTATTAGCATAAAGATCGATATGCAGATCAATGCAACAGAATAGAGTTCATAAATAGATCCACACATATATGATCAATTAATGTTCAACGAAGTTGCCAAAGAAATTCGGCGCAGAAAAGATAATCTTTTCAACAAATGGTACTGGAACAATTGGATAGCCATATGCCAAAATAAAACAGAAAAAAACCTTACCTCACACTATATACAAAAATTAACTCAATAGATTTAAATGTAAAACATCAAAATTAGAAAATTAGGGAAAAAATAGTTGAAAATAACAAGGTACAAAAAGCATGAAAAAGAAAAAATAAATTTGACATCAAGATTAAAAGGTTCTGGGGGCACCTGGGTGGCTCAGTCAGTTAAGTGTCTGACTTCTGCCTGGGTCATCATCCCAGGGTCCTGGGATCCAGCCCGGCATCAGGCTCCCTGCTTGGCAGGAAGCCTGCTTCTCCCTCTCCCTCTGCCTCTCCCCACCCCCATGTTCTCTCTCTCTCTCTCAAATAAATTAAAAAAAACAAAAAATAATATTTGTTTAAAAAAATTTAAAAATTAAAAAAATAAAATTGTAGAAAATACATACTTAATCTATGGTGCCCCAAAGCAAAACAGTGCCGGGCGCCTGGGTGGCTCAGTTGGTTAAGCGACTGCCTTCGGCTCAGGTCATGATCCCAGCATCCTGGGATCAAGCCCCAGGCCTGCTTCTCCCTCTCCCTCTGCCTCTCCCCACCCCCATGTTCTCTCTCTCTCTCAAATAAATAAATAAATAAATAAATAAATAAATAAATAAATAAAAAGCAAAACAGTGCCTCCTAGGAATATGGAAGTAGGGCAGGGAGGGATAGAATACAAAGAAGTACAAGAGGATTTTAGGGGTCAGGGGTGAAGGATATATGCATTATCTTGATCGTGGTAATGTTTTCACCATGTATACCTGTGTTAAAACTCATCAAATTGTACAACAATTAAGTATCAGTAAAGCTGTTTAAAAAAAAAAAAGCACAGTTAAGGGGCACCTGCGTAGCTCAGTAGGTTAAGCGTCCAACTTGATTTCAGCTCAGGTCGAGATCTCCGGGTCGTGAGATCAAGCCTTATGTAGGCTCTGCCCTCAGCAGGGAATCTGCTTGAGATTCTCTCTCTCCCTCTGCCTCTCCACCTGCTTGTGTTCTCTCGTGCTCTCTCTCTCAAAACTAAATAAATAAAATCTTTATTTAAAAAAGCACAGTTTGGGGTGCCTGGGTGGCTCAGTCGGTTAAGCATCTGCCTTCAGCTTGGGTCATGATCCCAGGGTCCTGGGATCCAGCCCCATGTCAGGATCCCTGCTCAGCGGGGAGTCTGCTTCTCCCTCCCCTCTGCTGTTCCCCCTGCTTGTGCTCTCCTGTCATATAAATAAATAAATAGGCACAGTTAAATAGCAATAATATTGTGTGCTTTTTGACAGATTACAAAGCACTTTGTGATCTTGACAGCATCCTAATGATGGATGGAGCCAAGCACTATTTGCCTGGTTTCATAGATGAAACAATGAGGCTGAGAGAAGTGACAGGGCTTGCCTGAAGCCACATCACCGGGAAATAGGTGGGCCGGTCTGGGGCCCATGCCTAGGTTGAATCGATTAGGGTAAAAAGCACTGGAATTTGTTCCCAACCTGTCCCAGCCACTTACTAGCTGAGATCTTTATGTTACCTCTTTCTATCTCCTTTTTTCCTTTATATTTCCTTCTATTGTGAAATATAGGTACAAAAACATATATGAAATATACATATACAGTTTATTAAATAATTACACAATGAACACCCATGCAATCATCTCACAGGTAAGTCAAAAAACATTGCCAACTGGGTGCTCCCTGTGAGACTCCTCCGCAGTCACAGTCTCATCCCTCCACTACCCGCCTCCCCACGTAACCACCACCTTCCTGGTTACTGTCCTGGTCTGAACCCTCATTGGCTCCCTCCAGGATTACTGTAATATCCTTCTAATTCTCTTTGATCTACCCTTGCCTCCTTCCTTCTCAGCACAGCAGTTAGAACATTCCTTTTAAGGGGCACCTGCCTGGCTCAGTGGGTAGAGTATGTGACTCTTAATCTCGGGGTCATGAGTCTAAGCTCCATGTTGGGTGTAGAGCTTACTTAAAAAAAAAAAAAGGTGTCAAAAAAATGAAGTTGCCCTATTTAAAAAAAAAAAGAAAATTCCTTTTAAAATACAAGTCAGATCCTGTCATTTTGTGTTCAAAACCCTACTGTGGTCCCCCATTTCATGCAGAATAAAAGCTACTCTCCCCATCACTCCCTGTGCTCTGGCCACCTGGCCTCTTAACTGTTCCTTGAACAGGAAAATAGCAGATATGCTCCTCGTAAGGCCTTTACTCTGGGTGTTCTCTCAGCCTCAAATGGCCTGGAATTGATCTGGAATACTCCCTCCTCGCTACTTAACTGACCCTCTCCCCTCCTTCCTGTATTTGTTCAGATTTCTCCTCCGCAATGAGGCTTCCCCCAACCACCCTATTTAAACGGCAGCTTCTTTGCCCTTGTTTACTGCTGTTTCCCCTGATAAAATGTGAGGTAGGCAAGGCTGAGCATCTTTGCTTGTTTCATTCACTGTTGCTCCAGTGCCTAGAATAGTACCTGGTACATTGCAGGTGTTCAGTAAGTATGGATTGAATGAAAGAACTAGAGTCCAGTTTTTTTGTGATAATCATTTCCTTGCTTTTCTTGGTAGTTTTCCCACCTATATATCCATTCTAAATAATATAATTTAGATTTGTTTGTTTTAACTCTATGTAAATTGAATCATACTATATATGTACTTTTCATGGTCCATTTTCTTTTGCTCAACATTATGTTTTTGAGATTCATTCATGTTGTTGCGTGTGACTGCAATTCATTCATTCTCCCCTGCTGTCAAGTTTTTCCTTGTGTGAATGATATCACAACCCATCCAACCATTCAACCTTTAAAGGAAATCTGGGCTCTGTCCAATTTTTGGACAATCTCACATGCATCTCAGGGCACGTATGTATGAGATTCTCCTGGGTATATCTAGGAGTGGGGCTGCATGGTCTTCGTGTATGTCTTCAGTTTTATGAGATAATGTTAGATGGTTTTCAAAGTGACACATCTGCATCTGCCCATCTGTAGTCTGGTCACCCCTTTGGGCCTCCGTGTCCCCCGTATTTCCTTCATAAAATAAGAGGATTGGACTAAGGGATTTCTGAGGTCCCTTTTGAGTCTGATGTTCTGTGATTCTGTGATCAAGGAGGCCTAAATAAGCAGCACCACATCCTTGAGGTAGCACCTAAGTTCTCAGGGAGAG